GCTACATCGCTTGGACGCGAGACACCCCTGAAGGTATACGGTAACCTTAAAGTTTCCATTATTTTGCCCTGTAGGGGATTTTGGTTTCAAACACAGACTTTGGGTCTACAGTGGTCGCCGTGGTGTCCACTGCTGGGTGTGTGATGAGACTGCTAGAAAACTTTCCCAGAATGCTCGTTCAGCTGTTGCAGAGTATCTCAGTGTAATTAAGGTATTAATATGACTTAATCTTTCTTATCTGACCCTTTACCAAGTGTCATTAGATTTGTCCAGATTTTTCGTCCTATTGAGGAGACAAGTCAATGAATGCTTGCGGGGAACAAGTAGGATAAGTACAATTTAGAGATGCATATGAGTTGAGAGAAACACAAGTTTTTAGTCTCAAAAAGTTGATTTTGATGACACCTGTCTTGACTGATTATTCTTTAAGTACTTGGTGATGTAATTCCACCTTCAATAGTCATTTTAATTTTATTTGTTTATTTATTTATTTTCCTTTTTAATGACCCCCTCCCCCCCCCTGGCTAGACAAATTTTAAAACTCTGTAATCCTAAGAAGACAAGTCCTAGAATATTGTTGGATTGTCCCTGAAAAGTCCTTAAATAGTCGTGATACTCATGTAACAGGGTCTGAAGTCACTGTAAACCATGTAATGCATTTGTTCTTCTCAATTTAGGGTGGAGAAAATCAAATCAAGAAAGTGAATCTGCGTTCATCGTACCATCCATATATCAGGTAATAGTAACGACAATAACCTTTATTTAGTTTAAATTCCCATTTTTAAAGCTACATGTACTACTACCTGTGAGGTGGTGTTCAAGTACATTGTAAAACAGTGTGTAAATTTGAAGACCCAGGCAACACATGCCCAATCAAGTACCCCTCCTCCACCATGACTTTGCAAAGAACCAGCTGAGTTGACTCGCTTGAACCTGATATTGCCCCTTTAGCATACTATAATAAATTGTAAACCTCTCAGCACGGCATGCCAAGTAGCCCAAGTCAGGTGCATTTTTGAGGCAGACTACTAGATTCTTTCTTAGGCTTGCCTTGTTCGCAAGTGAAGTTTTTTGGGGAAATGTCTTGAGGAAAATTCAAATATTATAGAAGTACTGTAAGTGATTGTGTTGAACTCAGCATTTCAATTAAATTGTAACTTAATTGATCATCCTTAGCTTGTGCTAAAAATTTAGGGGAAACTAGTGAGAAGGCTTTGACTTTCAGGCTAGTCCATCATAGTTACCTTTTCCCGGAAGGCAATCTAAAAAACTGTTTTTCTTTGCAACCTGCCTAACCACTCTGTCACCCTTTATGAGACTTTTAGGTTATGTAACTTAATTTCTGATGACAATTAGCATCTCATTTGTTTTCCAGAAAATCATTAGAAATTCTCAAAGCCCACTTTGTGGACCTCGTAATTGAGAAACAGGACATTTTGTCCTGCAAAGAAAGATGGGATGGAATGCTTGCTCTTATTCCTGATAGTATCCTTTAACAAAATGCATTTATGTTTAATATTATACATAGTGAGCTAGACTCCCAAGAATTAAACTATCAGTTTAGCTGAAAGAGAACTATGAGCACTTTAAAGCATTTGAGGGGGAGTCTAGACCAAGTGGGACATAGTATTACTGTTATTAATACAACAGGTGTAACTATTTGTCAGAAAAAGAGGTGTCAAACATCTCATTACTTTTGTTTAAAGTAGCCAATTTTCATACTGCTAACAACCCCACCTCCTCGATACAAACCTCTTCCATTCAGCTTACTCAAACAAGATTTTATGGTATTGTAGCAACTAATAATAGAAAACACCAGCGATAGTTTGTCTGAAACATTTACCTCTTATTGTGAGATATGCAAATAAATAAGAACAGAAATTTTGTCTCCAGGTAACTTTTTGAGGTTAAAAATGTCATGTAAAAGGGACGCTTCCAATAGTTTATACTGTTCTTCTTCAGGCTGTCAGTTGCAAGATGCCAGATTGTTGTTCTTTTGCACTTGTGGTCATATTTTTTGGTTAACTACTGTAGGTTCACAATTAACAGGGTTTCTTGGCATGGTTCATTGATTATTAAAGCTGATCCATTACTTTACATATAGGAATAGCAAAACTACTTGACGTTTTCAAAAGACATTTTTTTAATCTAAAAGAGTCCATCAAGATGCAAACATTTTATTTATTTTTTGTTTATAATTTTTAAGCCCCAACAGTACCAGGAGAGCAGGGGGTTTAATAATCAGAATTTTCTTGGCTCTCTTGGAGATCAAAAACTAAATAAGCCCTACTCAGGATGCATCTTACTGGAAGGAGTTTTAGTTACAAGGTGGTGATTTTCAGGTTAGGGCTTGTCATTATAATTTTTAGATTATTTTGATTTGTAAATGATTCCTTAACATGGGAAAGCCGCAAGAAATGAGCTGAACTCATCATGGTCCAAAACAAAGAAGAGCTCAAGAGAAAGATGGGATGAGCTTGAGGCTAAACTGGACAATAGTCAGGTGGATAAATGCTAATGCTGGAACTGAAATCCATACTTTCTAGTGTTGCAATCATTGACAGAAAGTTTTAATATTTTTGTATTCTAATATGTTTTTACGAAAATCTTCTTTGAAGTTCAAAATGTAATCCATGCGTTAGGAAAAAGATACCTTATCACTTTCCCTGGTACGATAGCCGTGATTCACCATACAGCTTGCTTTGCTGAAGATTGTCAGGAGCCAGACTTTGCCATCTGCTTCACCATCAAAATTTGGTCATGTGTGTTTTCAATAGTTTTGACAGATTTTCACAAGAATCAAATTTCAGTAGCCATCTACTAGTTTTGTTTTCAAAAGTTTTGGCATGAACTAATACTATCTCTTGGAGTTCAATACAGTCTTTTGTGAATTCAAAGCAGGTGAGCCAGATGTGTTATATCCTCAGGGAATTTTATTCATTTTCTTCAGAGACCTGAAACAAAAGATGAGATCATGTTTCAGTACTGTTTCCCTCGTCTTGATGTCAACGTCACCAAAGGACTTAATCACTTACTCAAAAGTCCATNGGGTTTGTGTACCAATCAGCATGAATGATGTAGACACCTTTGATCCATTCACTGTTCCAACTGTAAGGTATGTTCCAGAAATTATTTTCCTACTCAGTGGCAAGGTTCCCTTAGCGCGACTCCAAAAACCGTGTATATTTTTAGCAGCAATAAAAAGTTCACACTGAGCTGACTTTCTCACCGTTGTTTTAGCTTCTGAAGTGCACGCGATCCTAATGAAATCCGTCTCCAAAGAAGTCCAAAAATCGAGATCGGGAGCCGCCATTGAAGGCGAGGCCGCATACCTTGAAGGCCAGGCCGCATATCAGTGGCGTCATTCCGTCCAAATATGGTGCGAAACGTAATGCGTAGCAAGCTACCTACAAGGTGAATTCGAAGAACTTTCTCTTATCTAAAAGATGCCGTCGTGTTCGGCCCCGGGCTGTAAAAACAGATCCGAAAAGGATAGGGAAAGAGGAGTTACTTTCCATAATTTGCCTGCAAAGAACGTAAAATTGGCAGAGAAGTGGCTCGAACAGCTACGGCGGGATGAGAGATTAATGCCAAAAAAACTCGAAAATCTTTACGTATGCAACGAGCATTTCACAGACGACTGTTTCAAAACTGAATATCGATTTGAACTTTTGGGTGGAAACACAAGAAGGAGGTCATTGAAGAAAGATGCTTTTCCGACAATTTTTCAACGGAAGCCCCTTGTTAAGGCAGAGGAACGAAAAGAGGTAAGCTATGAAACTTTTCAGTTTTTAAAGCTATTTTTGTCGGGCGGAACTGTCGTTAACTTTATTTAGTAAATG